GTAACATTAATTTCATGTTACTTAGTAACATTAATTTCATGTTACTTGTAACGTGCATGGAGTATTACTTGTAACGTGCTTGGAGTATTACTTGTAACGTTCACGGAATGTTACCAGTAACCTGTATGAAATGTTACCGGTAACATGTATGGAATGTTAATATAAAACATTGTATTCATATTACAATTGAAGTTACTTTCTCGGGACATAAGCAGTTCCATACACATTACAATTACGTAAATGCCACTTAAAATGTAACATTACAAGTTACAAATTAATATTGTAGAAATATTGCCGAAATATTCCATTGCACAGTGGGTAATAACGTAAAGTGATTCTATTTTTTAAAGCGCAATTGGTTGTATGAAATTATAAATGAATTTGAATGAATGCCAATTCGGCCAAGCCGACGTTCGTGGTTGGAGACTTAAACGTGACATAAGTAGTTGAATGGGCACGCATTATAAATTTAAAGCATCCGCTAGTGTATCGGATGAAAACCAATAGTGCTCAACGATGATGATTTTTAACTAGATTTTAACGTGGGTATTTAACCGTCAATATCCGATTCATATATATATATATATACACACTGTTAAATCGAGATTGCACTTATTCATATAGTTAAGCTGAACAAAAATAAAAAATAAAAATAGTTATTTGAGCCACTGTACTGAATGGTGTTTGTAGAATTATGTTAGTGCGTATATTATATATGACAATATATCATAATATGTAGGTATGCTACATTATAAAAATAATATTTGCCCATTAATTCACCTGAAATATAATCAAACGACCGTGTCGTCGCCGCGTTTTGACCGAGATTGGTCAAATTCGATTTTTATACGCACGTGCGCCGTAAACCAACAAACGTTGCCGTCTACTGTAATTGTTGAGAGGGAGAGGGGGCAGAGGCGCGAATAATATACGAAATAAATAATGAACAATAAGAACGAAAAAAAAAAAAAGGGAAATGCGCTCGATCGCGCCGGGATATCTGCGAACTTCATCTTCGCTGCTGCGCGCGCATCGTCGTCGCCGTCGTTTTAAACAACAATAAAATAATTTACCTAATAATGGCTCACATGCGTTCAAATTATTTATTATCATTATCGTCATTATTGTTGTTATTATTTTATGCGCTTTGCAGGCAGGCACGTCATGAAATAATAATAATAATATCACTAATATCCACACACACGGCGGCCGGTGAAAGTGAGCGACGCGATCGGGTGTTACGTGCGCGGGCGCTGTCGACGTGATGGCGGCGGCGGCGGTGGCGGCGACGACGACGGTGCGCGCGCGTGGGAACCACCGATCTCCGACTCATTCTTCGTCTTGTACGGTCTTCTTCTTCCACTCCACCGCCGCCACGCCGTCCGAGTAGGCTAAACGTAACGGTATATGCCACGCTACGGAGCTGCTGCTGCTGACCCAGTTTTGCGATCGCCGCCGCCGCCGTTGTCCGGCCAGTCAGTTAGTCTCGCGTGCGACACCCGGCCGAGCTCAGTCAAACCCATGTGCGTGGTCTCGCGCGCCCCTACAGTGTACTGCATGTGGACGACTCATGTACTTAAAGATACTATTCCTTTGGGCAGTAAGTACTCTCTATATTGACTGTGTAATAATAATAATAATAGTAATAATATTGTGATACTGATGTATGGGAATACGATGATTATAACGATCGTAGGTGTACGATCAAACGGCATTAAACATTAAATTGTTATTCATAGTCTTACAACCCTTCGAGGTTTTTGATTTAATTTTTTTTTATAAATTATTATGATGCGTATGACGAGTGAACAACGACGAGAGAAAAAAAATATTAAAGCAAACTTTCATCGAAAATGTTCACTTTATAATATGTGTGACGTGTGCACACGCAGATATTTTAAAGTGGAATAATGTGTAACATTAATACAACAAACACGTTACGTGCGTAGGTAGTATATGTGCTATGGTGGCATTAAAACAAAATTTTATTTTTCTACTCGTCCCGTTGGACACACTTCACCTGAATCTGACGCCCGATAAAATTAAAGAGTATTGGGGATGCAATATGAATACAATCGCTTTTCTTGCGCATTCGAATTCTTCGTATTTTTCTCCATCCTGAAAATATTTTATGCACCGGTTTACCACCCTGATTTTGGGTATATCGTAAAATAAAACAAGACTTTCTTAAAGATTGTGGCATGTATACATGTATACATGACGTATTTGATCATGCCTCAATAAAATATTTTTTAACCATTATTGTATGATGTATGTGTGTGTGTATAGTAATACCGAATACGCGCAAACAATTTATAAAACGAGGTTTTAACAAAGCGCGTGCTCGGGAGCAGGAAGAGGAAGAGCTCTCGGCAAGGCGGGGTGAAGGTCGGAGCTTCACCTTTCCAGTGCGGTCAAATGTATATTTAAACCAAACTGGACCAATGCTCTCGACCGAGTCAATATTATCTTATTCTCAAAGATAATTTTGATATTTACGGTTAATAAAAAATACATTATTGTATTATATATTAGATTTAGTACCTTTACATATTGAGAAAAATCGCAATATATACGATCCAATAAAATAAAAAAAAAAATTGAATTTCCTAAAACGAATCTAATTCACTCGTATATATGCTTCGTGAACAATCTTATTATTACACTTAAATTTATAAGGAATTGAGTTAAGTATAAAATATAAGGCTATTCCGTAAAGTATATATACGTGTTGATCTATCTGTCGAATATGGCATATTATTTATTAAACATTATGTGACTGGTACTATAATCACTATGTTGTTGCCATGAGTTATTACACGTCATATTTTTTTTTAGATTTGTAAAATTTAATTAAATTTAAAAATGATTTTTAATGTAATATATTATGATAAGAATTAAGAATGTATAAATTGTAAAATCAACTTTTAATATTGCTGATATTATTGAATTAATAGGATTACATAAAATTGTATTAAATTTTATATTTTAAAATAATTAATGGTGATTATAATATGGTATACTAACTTATATTCTATATAGAAGAATGATTATTAAAATAATCATTACTCAAATAATGTCTTTTTTAAATTATGTATTATTAGTGTATTTGGACTTAAATTTATTCTCATTTGTTTATGTAAATAATCAATAATGGTTTTATGTTTGTTTCTAATCTGAAACTAACATATAACATATACCTAAATTTAAATTTATGTGGAATAAGGTATTCCATAATACTAATACTCAATAATATTTATAATCTAACTTATTAAACATACATAAAATAAAATATTAAATTGTTTGTATTTTAGTTAATAAGTTAATTAACTACGAATTGAAATTAACTCTTAAATGATATTTGAAATTTACTCAAAAATTAAAATTGATTTTTTTGATTATTACCATATAATATACAAAGAAGCAAAAACAAAAAGGTATTTCATATTCGGCGCACCTTCTAGTCTATTTGTATACCCAAGGTGCACATTTTACAATTATGTTCCATTTACCTTTATTATTTAAAATTGTAATATTTCTTTTATTTGTCATACGCCTCGCAAATTGCTTGTTCACCTAACTAAACTAATAAAGGCTTAACAAATTATTTAAACTAACTTTAGCAGGATTCTTACTCATTTACACACGTTTATAACACACGTATAGCCTGTATAGGTATACGTCCAAATATTTATGTTATCATTATTATAATATAATAATAATATTATTATATCCCTACGTCATGTTTGAAAAGTCTCTGTAACTTCCCGGCTGTCATTGGTTGATATATCATCATATTATTATCTATTCTGGATCCAGTGTTATATTTTAACTCTTTAGGATACTATAGTGTTCTTGCCGAGTTTCCGGTGTACCTATATATCACATTAGTTAATCGTCATTTGTCGCGATAAATCGATTGGCGGAACTGGTTGGTCATTACTCATTATAGACTGTAATATATATTACTTATTACTTTATTAGCTTAATAATTGCAAACCAAACGGATACGCCTAAATACATTACGTTGTAAACGTCGTTTGTATATATTTCTCTTTCTCAACATAGGTAAAGTTGTAAAAAAATATAATTGTAGAAATGTATTGAAATAGTAATTACTTGGAAAAAACAAAACTTAAGTCACAACCACTGCAGTCCCATATCGAGTGCGATCTTCTTGAGCAAAACCCGAAAGACCCGTGTATATATATATATATAAAAAACGTGACGTAGAATGCGCTTAAAGTGGTCAGACCAGATTGGTGGTTAAAAAATAAAATAACGTCCATTATTGCCCGCGTAGAGGTCGTCGAATTCGCGAATTTATTGCGAAACTAGCGGCTTGTACTCATATTACAATATTGTTTCCATATATTATTATTACACTGCTGCACAACACACTTTACAGCGTGAACGCGCGATGTACTGCACCTGTACATGAATTAATAATTCATTCGTCCTT